GTTATCGTTTCCGTATTTCTTTCCTTCCTTCCTCCCGTTTTTATTTACTCCTTGATTTCCTCATTTCATTCCGCATTTTCTTTTTTCGCCCCTTACCTGTTTCTCTGTAACTCCCTCCTTTCCTTCCTTTCTTCCTCCCTTTTTTTTTTTTTTTTTTTTTTTGGTTCCTTTTTGTCCTTTCGTTCTTGTTTCCTTGTTTTCCCCGTCCCTTCGTCCATCAGTCGTCCCTACACTTGCAACACTGTTGTGTTTTTCAAGTTATGTCTTATATTCATGTCAGGACGCAAGCGTGGTTGCTGTAACAGCAATGGATTATCCTGCTACAAGCGAATTTTTAGCCGCAAATGCATCAGGTACATCGCCAAATGAAGACTACGAAAGAATATCAGAAAAATCTCAGGCATCCTTGGACAATGCAGGGAATTCAGAACAAGAAACAGGAAACGACGACGTTCACGGGTCGCAAATCCACCATGATTATCAAGAGCTTAATATTGATTCAATATTGTCGAACRTGCAAGGCTACCAGGCTTTAACTAGGACTTTGGGGGACGATGTTAGACAAGTAGAACTTCCCCTACTTCTCCGCAAATACGAATCATTACACTTTGTGCATAACCCACAAAGTTCAGAATATCAGAAACTACATATGTATGCAAATATCGAGGATAAAAAGTAAGATCAGGGATACAATGTCCGAGTTTTGTGATGTTTGTCGTTCAGCCTCATTAGCAATCAGAAATATCGGAAGAATGAGGAAATATCTTGACAGCTCCTCCGCTGAGCGTTTAGTACATGCTTTTATTYCATCGAAGTTAGATTATTGTAATAGCGTTCTATACGGCTTACCTGCCAAACATTTAAGTGAGTTGCAGCGCATCCAAAATTCASMAGCCAGGTTGGTGACCAGGAGCAAAAAGAAGGAACATATATCTCCAATACTTTTATAACTTACATTGGTTACCAGTACATTTTCGWATCACGTTTAATGTATCATTACTTACTTATAAGATCGTTAATTATAGTGCACCATCTTATCTTATTAGCTTATTAGAGAAGCTAAAGCTTTTACATTCGCTGTTCCTAAACTGTGGAACAAACTTTCTAAGCACATTAAAAATGCAGAATCTGTTAATATGTTTAAATCTCTACTTTAAACACACTTGTTCATAGAAGCATTTAATTGCTGATCAATATATTTTATCGCTTTAGTCATCATTAGTTTTATATATTATTATATATATATGTATATATATATTTTGACAATGTGATGACACAATTTATCGTCAATAAGAGGAC